TTAAAAGCAAATATCTAAAATAATAAAATTAAAAATTTAATAGTTAAATTTAAAAATTTAATATTGAGCTTTCACATCCTTATTTGAGGACAACCTACAGAAATGGATTACAAAGTAGGTTGTGGATGTACATCTCTCATACAACTCAAAACAAACCACAGTAGAAGCCTGAACATTTAAAAACAATACGCCCATACTTTTAAAATAGTGATTTGAAGAGAAAACTGCAGGTTTGCTGGTGGCAGTGTCAGTAGGAGGCTATGGAGGCACATAGACTTAGGGCTGGGTTCGGGTAAATGTGTCACCAGTGAGAAGGGATTTAAGGAGGACTTTCAAGCAGCAAAACAAGCCAGCAGCAACAACAATAACAACAACAAACCCAAGGACCAGAGTGGACCTAAAGGCCTCTGGCCCAGTTGTCCCTTTTTGTGGAACCCCCACGTTTCCTTGCTGGACTCTTCTGTGATAGATACGGCATTCTGGCAGCTGTCATCTTTTACTTCTAAAGTGTCTTTTACTTCACCAATGCCAGCAGTTTGTCTCCCACGCTAGGGTCTGTCCCCTGGTGTTTGTGGCATAGGACACTGATTCTTGCTGCATGTGGACCCCACAGCTGCTTTATTCCCTGGAGGGTTTTTCTAGGCTCAGCCGGCCCGGGTCAGACGAACAGCTTAAGTTCCTTCCCTGTGAATGAAGGCTGATTTTTCTGTATTCTTTTTAAAGCACAACAACTACACAAAATTCTACTCATTTAGAATTTTGAGTTCTACTGTTTTTGTGTTCATATTAGTAAAGTTAATTGTTAAAAACAGACTGGGGTTTGATTTTTGTGTCCAAGCCAAAGGCACTTGTTGGTAATTTAGAGGAGCTGTGTTCTGCCTTAGGTTTGGAGCATCCATCATGGTATCCCTCAGCAGCATATGATAAAAGGAGAGTGATGGATGGAAGTCTGGGAATTTAGTCTAAGCCCTGCTCTGCTGTGGATGTAATCTTTTTGGATGTCTTTTTGTCTTCTTGCTAAATTGAGGATTTTGAGTGAGGTGATCTCTGGTGGCCCCATCAATTCAACAGTGTTTCTGCAGTTCTGTTTTAATACTTGTTTCTCCTGACCAAAGCACACAGCCTTACCTTTAAATTGAAAAGGAGAAATCCATAGTCAACAACAGTTTTGGCTGTCAGCTCAAGGCTGCTGAAGAAAAATACGTAGAAGCAGCTCCAGTACTGTGCAAAAGTAACTCTTGACCTGTCTGCCAAGCACAGGGTTAAGTCGGTACCTTGTATAGGCAACTGCAGGCAGTTGGCTTCGGGAACCTAGATGGATTTATAAAGTTAAATAATAATTAACTTTATAATTAAAATCAAATATTTAATTATATAATTAATTAATTAATATGTAATAATTAATATACAATTATTATATAAATTAATTAATTAAATTATGTAATAATTAAAAATAAAAACCAAATCTTGGAAGGACTGAAGGGGAAGCTGAATTGGTTAAGGTGCTGTGTGGCTCTTGTTTTCTTTGATCTTGAGATGAATCTGAACCCGGGTAGGAGTGCTTGGTTAGTGCTGACTGCCTGATCTATACTCTGCTGCAGAAGCATACACAATCTATAAATGGATTATAATCTATAGAGTTAAGTGCTCCTAGATTAGTTTGAAACTAGCACATTATTTTTAATAAAATGTGTGCTTTGTGGGGGGAGGGGACCTAAGAATTAATTGTGGTTATTGGTACCTAAGGTCCTTACTGAGTCTTGCCTGTGGTATTAGTGAAGATTTATGAATGCTTACTGTGTGCCTGGCAAGGCTGAGCCTTTCCCATGTGTGACCTTGTGTTGTCCTGGATGAAGTTGGTGCTCATGGTTCAGATGAAGAGTGATGGGTAGAGGAGTTAGGAACTGACTCGTCACCCACCTCACGAATGTGGGATTGTGGGTAAATACCTGGGCCACAGTGGCCCTGGCTGCTTCCCAGTGGGTGTGGAAGGACTTGTTTAATTACATGTTTTTTCTTTTGTAGTAGGCTAGCCTGGTTTTTTATTTCTTTTTACAGCCGTCCATAGTCAGTTTTAACTTGCTCATCGAAGCTGGAGAATTATGTCTCTATGTGTAGGCTCCAAGTATGAAATCATTGTATATTTCTCTTTAGATATATTTGCTTTTCTGCGTGTGAAGGAAGGTTCCATTTGAGCAGGGAGACTGACTTTCAAATGAGGGTTCTTTGTTGGATGAAAGTGAAGCAAACTTTTATTTTGGCAGCAACAGGGATAAAGTAAACATCAGTATAGCACAGACCTGGGCTTCCAGCTCACTTTGCTCAACTCTTCCAGACCCCTAAGCAAACACAGATGGGTTTCCACTTCTCAGTTTTATGTAGCAAGTTCTTTAGACTATAAATTCCAAATGCTACTTGGAATTTTTCAATGTTTGCTTGATTGCATGCCATGGGCAGGTCACAAGGCTTGGTTTATATGATATAAAGGTTTTAGAAGGTGGTGATGAGTACCAAGGTGTTTGTTTTTGTTTTTTGTTTTGTTTTGTTTTTTTGGACTATATTATGGTCTCTCCTGATGGTGATTCTTATGTTTTAACTCAGTTCTAAATGACTAAATTTCCTGGTAATTTCGTGGCAGGAGCTTTGAAAACCTTCTGATTTTTAAGAAGTAGAATGAGGGTGGTCTTTGAAAAGGTGGTGTTCTGAATTTAGTCCTGATGTGCAAAAAATTCCAGGAATGATTAATAAAAATAGAGAGGCTGGAGGGTGGCATGGGGAAAGGCTTGGTGTACCTGAGCTGCCCCCATCCTCGCCAGCGTCAAATACTGTGACTGTGACATTTTGAAGTGTTGTTTTGAGGATTTGCAAGTGTTGCTTGTAATCCTAGAATCTCCTGACTGTAATTTCACCTCTTAGCGCCTAGTAATTGTAAGAATGAAAAGAAGAGGATGTGTGCGGCCAGCTGATAATTCAGTGGCACGGACTCAGGTGGCAGGCGCCTGAGACAGTGGCTCACGGTGCTGCTTCCCTAGACGAAGCCCTGGGAGGCCCCTCAAAGGGGTCTCGGCTCTAGCTCCACTGCAGCCTTCTTCTTGCATCTGAAATACTGATACAAGATGTCCATGCTCTCTTTATGGATCTGCTACACTTTTTAAAAATACAAATTTTGTTTTCTTTTTAAAGCAAAATGAAATGAAATGAGGTATTTTCATGACATGATCTCCTTGAGCCTCTACCACAACAGTCTGTGTGTATGGTACGTCTTTGCACCAGCGCAGAACATGAGTGCCGAAGCTCTCAGCTCCAAGATGCTCTCTCCTTAGATTTCTGTGCAGAGGGGTTGTGGGATTACTTTGTGTGTGGATTTTGTTGTTGTTTTTGATGTTTTTTTTGTTTTTGTTTTTAGTTTTTTGCTAGCATCGTGTGATAGTATTTTGGTATCAATAATCAAGTTTCATTTGTACTACTAATCTTTAAATAAGAAAATTATGTTATTTTTTTTAATTTACTGCTAAACATAAAAAATCAACACCGTTGATTATTGAAATTCACCACTAATTATTTCCATGATCGATACTGTAGGAAAAAAAGGACCTTGTTGTTTAGATTATCTGTCATTAGTAACTGTCTCTTCAGAAGATAGAGTTTCACGTTGGCCTAAAAAAGAAGCTTTAACTTTCAACTGAAATTTAACCCTTGAGTGCCCTTTGCCCCCTCTACACACTGGTTAAGTGGGGTCCTTTTCCCGTCTGCATTGTCTCCTTGGTTTGCAGGACTGTGTAGCCCTCTGCATAGCTGTGCCAAATCACAGCACATGCAGGAGTGTTTTTTCTTATTCCTATTGGTGTCTCCGTCACTGGGGATAGAGCCATGGCCATGGGGTTTGATTTGTACAGTCCTTAGGTAGAGTGGCTGCAATATTATTTGGATGCAGCCATTGGTAGACAGTTTTGTGGGTTATTTATATTTTATTTCATTGCATTTGCTGAGCTGATTGTAATGTTAAAATAGGCATTTATATGACACAGTAACATATTTTAGCATTTATTTTATCTTCCTAAGGAAATTTAGAAGTGATATTGCAAGTGATAATTGATCTTTATGAATAAAAATTACCACTATACTTAAGTGAAACAAAGCAAGTATGTTTTGCTTGTTTGCAATGTGTTTTAATTTTTACAACTATGTATAGATTTATTACCTCCTTTACCAAAAGAACTACAGTAAATAAAAACACATGTTGGTGTAGCCTTTTCTAAGAAGGAAGACTCCAGAACAACCTTTTAAGGGCTGGTTTTGTAGTCACTTGAGTATGTTGATGCGTGTCTCCTCACCTGATGGCCTTGTGTGTCTGTCTGCCCATGCCTTTCTGCTTTTCCTGCCCGGACGGACGGCCCGACGGCAACACCACAACCACAGGAGCTGGATGAGGTACTGTGCTTTGGGGATTTTTGTGTGTTGGGTGATTTTAGTTTATAAAACACTGTTTTCTTGCAGTCTTTGGTCATATAGATGACACTAGCCCTGGCATACATGTAGAGTTGATTGGAATTACTGTATGGAGTGTATTGATTTCATATTTCACCAGTGTTCACACCATTTGAAGTAGTGACCTAGAAGGATGCTTAGGAGACATGTCTACTCTTTGGGAAAGTTCTCAGTTTGGGAGCAGCCACAGGGGGAGAGTTGCTTGACTGGGCAGCAAGCTGCCTGCTTACAGGATGATGACCTGGGCTCCTGATTTCTGAGATAAAGGGGATATAGTGGTTCAAGTGGAGCATAGGGGGACAATCCATCTGATGGAAGCCCTCGAGCAGGCAGGGATGGAGCCACGAGTGCTGCTGCCATCTGGCTGGTCCCTCGCGCTGCTAATGAAGTGAGGGGTACTGCATGTCTCGGCTTCTGCTGCAGAGACCACTTCTGACCTCCTGACAGCACATGCTTGGCCTCTTCGTTTCTTGTCAGCGTCTCCCCAGGAAGGTGAGAGTATGCATCCATGTCACTTGATTTCAGTGGCCCTGCTAACGGGGCCAGGAGACCGGTGGGCAGGACACCGCTGCTGACCACATTAGTGTCTCTTTCTGTCTCAGCGATGAAGGGGCAGTGAGAGCATTTCTGAGAGAAGACTGCTTTGTACGGAAAGGCAAATCAGAGGTCAGGATCCCTTCCTCCTTTTATAGTCCTGCAGGTGCCAGCTCCTGGTTATGCTCTAGTTATATGTTGGAAGAGCCTAAACTCACAGGTGGTGATGCCAACACACTGTACCACTCAAGCATCCTTCCTTGTGAGCCAGTCAAGTGAAAAGCGGAACTCTTTAATCCTCATGACTTCATGAGAATTCCACCATGAAGCTTTACAAGAAGCTTCCTGCCCTGTGGTCAACTGGGAAGGATACAGGGTGCAAATGGTGATAGACTCCTGTTCCTTTTTTTGTTTTGTTTTGTTTTTGTTTTTGTTTTTGTTTTTTTAGAAGAATAACCCATATTCATGTGTTTGAAAAGATACATGGGATTCCATTAACAGTGGTCCCTCCTGAGATTGGGAGGGAGAATGGGGTAAAAAGAAAGCTTCAGTTTTTGATCCCCATCCTACTGTACACATGTGTTTAACCACTGGCCTGCATCATTACTGTCACAAGAAGCATGGTTAAAACACACCCCCAGCCTGAAGCTCAAGGACTAGGTAGCTGGGGCTAGACCTTCCTGTCCCACCCAGGATCCTCACTGCCAGCACCCAGCCTGGGCTGAGGAAGATGTAAGATTTCTGTTCCTACACAGTGAAGCTAGCAGGTGGGTCTCATGGGGCACAGCAGATGGAGATGGATTTGCTGATGAAACCTCTGCTAGGTTAAGCCCTGACACATAGACCCTGGTGGACACACATGGGACGTAAGGATGTGCCTCCTTGCTGAGCAGGTTGCAGCTGAGAAAAGGGGTGTGATTGTGGGAGGGCAGGTAAGTAGTTCTGACACCTCAGGCCAGCCCTCATGAGCACCTTGCTCTAGTCCCTGCTGTAGGGGCAGCTTCTAGAGACTAGCCATGTTTGGGAGGAGCTTGCAGACCCTTGTGGGTTTCTCTGGGGGTTTTGACCAGCATGTAGCCTAGGCTGGTCTCCAGCTCTTGGCAGCCCAGGTTCTGGGGTCACAGATGGGTACCAGCACATTGGATCCCTGTTTGCATTTCTTGTGCTTGGCATCTGTGCACAGGGCCCTGGCGGAAGTGCGGCGTGCTGAGCAGCCTTGCCCTCGTGCTCTCGGCTCTGCATGCTTCACTTCCTCCTTCCCCAGCGCCATCATGTTCTTCATGAAGTGTAGCTTCCAGAATTATGCGCAGCATACTTTATTTACCTCGTCCATTCATTCCACCCATTTACTGTTGACTCATTCAGCTAATTATAATTGTGTGTTCATTACTGTGAAGTGCCAGGTGCTGAACGAGGAACTAGGGATGTTGTTGGGAAAGGTGTCCAGAGGCTCGCTTTACTGAGGGAGGTTGGGCTTCAAAGTAGTGTCTTCTGGGAGTAGTAAACATCTGCCACTTGGGCATCCTGGCATGAATCCACGGATCTGAGAGCCCCTGCTCCCTACAGGTAGTCCTGCAGGCATACATGTTAGCCACTCTCCTACTCAGGCTGAGGACCCTGGAGACACTGCTTCCATTCTGCTCAGGAAATATGCAGTAGAGTTTTGGCCAAGGAGGAGGCCATTCTCCATCCACAGTGTTGTCCAGGACAATATCTGTTCTCTCCTCTGTCTTCTGTGCCTGGTCTTTGCATTTTCTGCCTTGGACAGATAGTCTTCCAGAAGATAGGAGCTATTAAAAAATTATAAGGTATAAATGTCAGGATCCCAAACCACCTACTCCTATGAGCTAGCCCTTGTGGCCTTGAGCAGGTGTCCATGCCCAAGGGTTTCAACATCCACTGAAGGTTGGAGCAAACCCTGGGGAAGGATTGTCTCTTTGGTTGCAGAAGCCAAGTCTGCAAGTGTGCTCAGGGCCATGGTGATGGGCAGGGTTGCTTCTCTTTGTTTTTTAGCTTGTGTATGTTGATGAAGGAGAGTCGGTGAATTAGCGCGATTATCAAGACAGTGCATGGGATTCCCAAGGTTTGTGTTCTCTGTTCTGGTGCCATCTGGAAAGTGTTTCCAGTAACTTCATAATGAGAAGAAAGCTGTTGTTGTTGTTGTTTGTTTGTTTGTTTTGAGACAGGGTTTCTCTGTGTAGTTTTGGTGCCTGTCCTGGATCTTACTCTGTAGACCAGGCTGGCCCCGAACTCACAGAGATTCGCCTTGGCTCTGCCTCCCGAGTGCTGGGATTAAAGGTGTGTGCCACCACCGCCTGGCCTGAAAGCATTATTTTTAATCTCAGATGAAGATAATTTGGTTGTGACTTCTAGATTCTTCTATCCACTTGCTTGTTCATCCCTCCGTGAGCCTGGAGATTTCTTAGACCACGTTGTTTGTTCTTGTGCTCTGGCTTCAGGATCCACAGCCCATTGCAAGAGTTGCCAGGCTGTGGTTTGTAGTGTCGCTTCTGGACTCTTGAATGTTGAGTGCTCATGCAGTCGGCTGCTTGTGAGAACTGCTCTTGTTCTACTGTTGAACTTGGTGTAGATCTCTGTGCTGTTCCTTGATCTCACTGCATGCGTCTACACATGCAATGGGGTGTTGTAAGCATGCAAAGCTGTGATTTGGAGCAGCAGGATTTATAAGACAGAGTGTGTATGTGTTTCTTCCATAGGTCAGGAATTTTGTCTTCAGACAGGGTGATAGACACCTGCAGGAAACCCAGACACTGTGAGCACTGTCAAGGGTTTCTGCATTCAGCACAAGAACAGGGCTCTGAGGTAGGACTGTGTCCTCTGTGGCTCTTGGAGGACAACCCCAAGTAAAAGACAAAAGAATTCTTAAATTCTTAATTCTCAAATGCGAAGCTTATATAACATTTTTTTCTTGTTTAAAAATACATAGATTTTATTTTATTTCTTTTTAACTTCAGAAATACAAGTTTATTTAAGAAAAGCCTTAACTCATGTCAGGTTTTAGGAGTAGGAAGAGTTGAAATTTGGCAAAGATAGATGAAGAGAAGCATGGCTAGTGAGGTCTGTGGGAAGGACGGCAGCCTGGAGACCAGTGTGAGCTCAGCGTAGCACACCAGCATGTTGGTAAGGGGAGGGAGGTTCGGGAAGTTGAAAGGGTGATTATTTATTTTGCCCGTAAGATACATTTTCATGTTCCTGTTTGTTCCCATTTCAAATAGTTGACGTTATCTTCAATTGTTTTCTCTTCGCAAAACACATGTTCTTTTTCAGTAGTACACACTGTGCTACACATTACAAACCTGTACCAGTAAGAGACATAGAATTTTTCTTCTCAGTAGAACAGGCTTTCTGTCACAATGAGCTATGGCCGTAGACTCTATCGGGGACAAATAATTGACCACATGCAAGCCTGCAGCCCTGGTGCAACGTGAGAAAGCCGCAGTGGCTGTGCAGGCTGGCGCCCGTCCCTCCTGAGGTCTCCTCGTTTATCAGCTTCCATAGAACCCCATGAACGAGTGGTCTGACTTCAGTCTTGATGTACAATTGGATGGGGACACCTCTCTTATAAAAGAAAGAGCTGCTTAAAACTGTGTGGTCTGCTTTAGCTGGATGCTCATATGTGGTGTCTGACCTTATAAATGATGCTAGTGAGAGTCCAGGTGAATTTAAAGATACCATCTCTCCACATCTTCCAGTTTTACGTGCATTTGTAAACAGTGAGAACAGCACTGCCTGTTTTGTTCACGAGTCAATACTTTCTCTGTTGAAACACACATGGGAATAATGCAGATTGGAAATTAAGCTCTATGGCTCTCATTAATAGAGACCGTGACAATTTAAAGTTGTCCTTTGTGTGGTATTCTGGAGTATTCATGTTCTACCCCTTGCAGCAGTGAATCTGTGGAGATCTGCTAAAGAACGTACCAGGCCAGAGCTGAGGGCTAAGCCAGAGGTTTGCCTGGTCAGTATACCCCCACAAGGACATGCTTGGTGGCCGGGGAGTGGGGTTGTTTCCACAGTGACCAGCAAGGCAGGCCTGGGCAGACTGGCACTTGAGTACTGGAGCCTTCTCTGGCCCCTGTGTAGATGCTACAGGAAGATCCAAAGCCCGGGGTCTCCTTTACTGTCTCAATTTAACAGCCTGTTGTCCTGGTTGATTTGCTTCGTGAACTGCAGTTGTATTGCATGGGTTACTAAGAGCAAGCTTGTGGAATGGAGTGGGGATTCTGCAATCAGCTGGCCCAGGTTTTAATCTGTCCCATTACCAGTAGCATGTGCCTTAAGGCAGGCTGTTTAACTTTTTTGTATTTCAATTCTGTATTTATGATTGAAATAATGTTTCTCAGCTCAGCTAGGTTTTTTTTTTTTTTTTTTTTGAGAATTAAAATCATAAACATGAAGACTTTCCATTAGTGAAGGCTTAGGTGGCTGAGAACCTCTAGGACCTGTAGTCTGCAGCACATATTTGAAGGACACACCATTAGCTCAGACATAGATGTAACGTGGGCCTGCAGTGGTGATGTGGACAATGGTGGATGTGGTCACAACCCTCAGGCCTTGGGTCCATTTCCGTCATCATAGCCCTTGCTGGATGCTGGGGTAGGTGGAGGCCAGGCTACCGGAAGTGTGTGGGGTGCTGAGGATGACAGTTGGAGTCTGAGTGAGTTTGTTCTTGGGGATCAGAGGCTTGTTCCTTAAGGTAGTGTGTGTGTGTGTGTGGGGGGGTTTTCCCTTCATTTGTGAGAATTTTAGATTTACTTCTTTATTGTTAGGTAAGCAAATATGAATTTGTCAGATGCATTGAAAAATAAATGCACATGATTGCAAGGAAGGAAGGTGGTAGATGTTGCTCACCCAGTGCTGCAGTATGCCCCAGCAAGTTCACAAAGTGTTGTCTGTGAGGGCGTCTATTGACCACTGTCTTTTGGTTATCATTTGGGTCTTTTGAATTAGCATTTAAAAATTCTGTGCTTTGGAGGACCTCTAGATCCTTTCAAATCCATTCATTGCCTCCAGGCAAAATAAATAAATAACCAGGCCAGCCTGTGATCTCCCTCCCACTCGCTGGAATTTCAAATTTAAAAAACAAAAACTTTCTGTCATTTCAAAGTAAGGGAAGTACAGCCAGTGGACATGCAGCTGAAGCAAAGAAATGGCTGGTGTGCAGAGGGCGGCGCTGAGACTGGAGGATGGCTGCGGTCCACGCACAGTCTAGTTAACCCTTCCGAGCAGTTCTTGGACACATGTTAACATGTGGTTCGTGGTCTTGTGACTGAGGTAACTGGCCCACCGTGGTTTCAGCAGCAGTTCCTGCTGCTGTCCCACCAGCACACTCACTCTGCTTCCTGCTCTCCTGGCTTAGTGCACTTGCTAAGGAGCTGGGTTTCTGACATTTTCATTACATTTCTGTAGCCAAATCGAGTCAAAGGCGCGTCCACAAGGATGTCCAAGGAAGTTAAGAACTGGTGCGTGAAAAGATAGGAATGGAGTTCAGACCCTAGCATGTCACAGGCAAGCTTGTAATACAGGCATGTCATTTCCCCTACCTTTCCATGTCCTCTCCGGGACAGTAGGGGGATCCATGTCCTAACTGACCTCTAACCATCTTTCAATGTCCATCATTCCCTGTAGCTTGCTGATGACCGCATGGCACTGGTGTCAGGCATCAGCTTAGATCCAGAAGCAGCAATTGGTGTGACAAAGCGGTCACCTCCAAAATGGGTGGATGGAGTAGATGAAGTAAGTTAAATGTTAGTTTCTAAGTGTTTTGTTTTGTTTGCTTTTTTAAGTTTGGATGATAACATCGCCTAAAATATCTGCCATATGAGTCAGTTTGGTTCCAGTTAAAGTTGTAACCTCAGACACACTCACACTTTGAATTTATTCATTTATATACCACACAATAAAATTAAGAGTGTGTCTGTTTGTCTGTCTAGATTATTTGGACTTAACATTAGCAGCAACTACTTGAATTATAGGAAGAAATGAAAAACTATGGAATAAGGAAGAGTGTGTGCTTGTTTTAGATGAGTTTATTCAATTATTTATTAATATGTTAGCTTTGGTTTTTCGAGGCGGGGTTTCTCTGTGTAGACCTGGCTGTCCTAGAACTCACTCTCTAGACCATGTTGGCCTTGAACTCAGAGATCTACTTGCTTCTCCCTCCGAGTGCTGGGATTAAAGGCATGTGACACCACCATCTGGCTTATTTCATTTTATGTGTATTAGTATTTTGCCTGCGTGTATGTCTGTGTACCAGGTATGTGCCTGTGAAGATCATAAAAGGACACTGGATCCCCTGGAACTGGAGTTACATAGATAGTTGTAAGCCACCATGTGGGTGCTGGGAACTGAACCCAATCTTCTACCATAACAACAAGTGCTTTTTTTTTTTTTTTTTGGTTTTTCGAGACAGGGTTTCTCTGTGTAGCTTTGCGCCTTTCCTGGAACTCACTTGGTAGCCCAGGCTGGCCTCGAACTCACAGAGATCCGCCTGGCTCTGCCTCCCGAGTACTGGGATTAAAGGCGTGCGCCACCACCGCCCGGCTTGAACAAGTGCTCTTAATCACTGAGCATCTCACTTTTGGTTTTTTGTGTTTTTAAGTTTTTTTTTTTTTAATTTTTTTTTGTGTGTTTTTTTTTGTTTTTGTTTGTTTGTTTGTTTTTTGGTAACTTGAATTTAAAAAGTTACTTGTGTGTCAGTAAGCCACCAAATTCAACTGAATGCAGAGTCTGGTATAGCTAACCATCTTGAATGCAGAAGGATACTTGCCAGGCATGAGGGATTCTCGTGACTTCCATTGTTTAGGTACAGTATGATGTTGGCCGCATTAAACAGAAGATGAAGGAGTTAGCCAGCCTTCATGACAAGCATTTGAACAGACCCACCTTGGATGACAGCAGCGAGGAAGAGCATGCCATCGAGATAACCACCCAAGAGATCACACAGGTGAGGACACAAGCCCAGCTTTTGAACGGCCACCTCCAGTGCCACAGAGCCCCTATTCTGAACCCAGCAGATGATGTCCTGGACTTTCATATTCCAGCCTAAAGCCCTCATGGGGACTTGCAAAAGCCCAAGGTCTATGAGTTGCCAGCATGTGTATGTGGTTTCTTGGAGGTAAGGGCACTGTTTCTCAGTTGTTGGTAGATACCACTGTGTTTGATTGTGTAAGAATTAAACTCAGCATAGTAATACATTTGATCATTTGATGTTAAAATGTATAATTGCTGTGATATACCAGGACTTGCAAATTTATGCTAAAACACAGTTCAGTAAGAAGACATCTTGGGGATTTTATTGGAAACCCAGTTTAACCTTTAGGTGGTGTGACTGTGTTTAAGTCGCCATCTTACTTTGAGAGTAGACACCCAAGTGTCTGAAGCCTTCGCTCTAGCTGAGTCACCATGAAACGTTTCTCCCTCAGTCTCTGACTCGGCCCTCCCATCTGTAAAGTGGGCACAAAACCACACCAGTACCTGCCTCGTGCTCCTCGTGTAGGAAGTCAAGGAGTGTCAGGCACACCGTGAGCGAAGTAAGCAGAGGGGGGCACACCACAGACACTGTACAAACAGAAGGTGGAGTGAGCAGAGGGGGGCACACCACAGACACTGTACAAACAGAAGGTGAAGTCTAGTTAGGTCTTCAGGGTGCACATGAAACCTCTGGCCACTCCCACCCCCTAACACACACACACACACACACACACACACACACCCAGCCCAGCCCAGCCCTGCATACCAGCCTGCAGAGCAGGGTGCCCCTTGGCTAGGAAAGGCTTCTCGATGTAAGCCAGAGCTATTCTCTCAGCTCTTCCACAGGTGCCAGCGTGCCGTGCAGGCCTTGCCCAGTCGGGCACGAAGGGCCTGCTCTGAGCAGGAAGAGCGGCTACTGCGGAACGTGGTGGCCTCCCTGGCACAGGCCCTGCAGGAGCTGTCTACCAGCTTCCGGCATGCACAGTCCGGCTACCTGAAACGTGAGTGCTGCCGGCCCTGTTGAGGGACTCTTGAGTAAGAAACATTGTGTCTTCTCTCCTCCTTTGGGCCCGGTTCTCTATCCAGCCCTTGCCTTTCATTGTTAACAGCTAATTAGGCACATTCACACCTTTTGAACAAGAGGAAGCTGCTTCCCCAGGAGACCCTTGCTGAGGAGGGAAGGCCTGGCTCCTGGTGCAGTGGTATTGACAGTTCTTGTCCAGGTGAATAGCATCAAGCTCTGGCTGTCCACAGACTTGGAAAGTCACAGCATATTTAGAAAAGAAGGCTTGTTGTGATGTGATGTTGGGCTTTGGAGTTCTGATGACACACATGTAAGAGCCATTTCCTCCACAAAGTGACATCTACATGGCCCCTGGGGCTTGAAAGTCGGGTACAAACACTCTTGCATCAGCTCCCCCATACTGCATTTCTCTCTTTCATCTTTGTAATGAATAAAACCCCACTTGCTCCTGAGACCCTGCTCCCCTCTCCCCACAACCTGCATGTCTGTTTTAATTTCATTCTACCCCTCCCCCCAGCCCCCGAATCTGACCAGAGTGCTTACTAGAGTGCTCCAGGAGAGAATACTGGTTTTGTGTTAGTGTGTTATAAGAGCAGTTAGAAGAGTCTCAGATGGTTGTGTCCTGCCTTGGCATCCAGTGAACTGGGCATTTAGAGAGTGACTGCCCCGAACACTTGCATGCTGTTGCAATGCTTTAATGCAAGGCTCCTCCCTCTGGAGGTGGGCTTCTTCAGACCTGTTTAGGGGGCCTCCCCTTGCTGTTGGGTTTTACTCTAGATTGCCTTTTTAATTGGTGGAACAGTAGCCATATGCATTCAAGTAAAGTGGGCCCCTGTCTGGTAGGCATGAAGAACCGAGAGGAAAGATCACAGCATTTCTTCGACACATCGGTGCCACTAATGGATGATGGAGATGCTGCTGCTTTGTATGGTCAGGTATGTGATGAGACCCCCATCTGCCTCTTCTTTTCCTAAGGTCCTTGCTCCTGTGCAGTTGAGGAAGTGGTGGTTGTTGTCTGGTGTCTGCCAAGTAGCCCTTGCACAGGCAGGATTGCCATGCTGTGCTTCCCTTCCAGTTGTCACAGGGAGGCCTGCAGTGTGCGTCCCAGAGCCTGAGCTACACAGAGCCATCCCTGGGCCCCATGTGGCTGCACATGTAGCTTCTTTCTGCACCCCTACTTCAGCCACTATATTACACACCGTGCTGTTTGGGGATTGGGTATTTACTTCCTTGTTGCCAAATGCTTTATACAAGTATTTTCAGAATTGGTTTTCCCTAACTGTTGTCTGAACTGCCTGCCACAGCTTTCCTAACGGGCGACTCTTGTTGGGACAGGGTTTCACGGATGACCAACTGGTCCTGGTAGAGCAGAACACTCTGATGGTGGAGGAGAGAGAGCGGGAGATCCGTCAGATTGTGCAGTCCATTTCTGACCTCAGTGAAATCTTCAGGGACTTGGGAGCCATGATTGTGGAGCAGGTGTGTGTCCTGTGGGGTGTCTCACCCATCCTTTCCTGTGGCCCTTTTATCCTGTCCTCCAGTTGGGAAAACATTTAAACATGTGCTCCTCACACTGCATGTGTCTGGAGGGGTGTGTGTTTGCAGTTACTCTGGGCTATTGTCATTCCCTGTGAAACTACTGATTTTTTTTTTTTTTAAATCTGCAAGAACAAAGGAATAGGAATTCTAATGCTTTCTGCTCTGACCCAAAGATACTTGTGTGCATGCATGCTTTGGAGGCCTGGTGGACTCTGACCAAGCCTGGCCTAATTCTGCCGTTGTACAAGATTCCCTTCTGACAGTGGCAGAGCACTGTGCAATGGCTGTTGGAACCACCAGCTTTTAAGTGGAATTAAATCGTTGCTCATTGGTATAATTTGATTAGGGCGTTTTTATTATCTTGCCAGTAGGGATTTGTTTGGGTCCTGGTCCCCTGAAACCAGCTACAGAGTAGAGCGTTGAGGCACCATCAGAGCCAGCTGATGAACTGCCATTGTTTCCCAGTGAATTGCCATCTTTTCTCCGTGCTTCCTGTAGGAACCAGGAAGAGACTGATTAATAACCTGTCCTTGAGGTCCAAGTTGTCATTTTAGACAGTGATTGGAGCAGCCTGGCCATGGTGGTAGAACCTAGTTGGTATTCTCCATCTGCCAGATCCCAGTATTTAAGCAGCAAGAAGTGGAAAGCCATGGCCCTTGGCTTCCCAGAGCCCACTCCTCTGATGGGTTTCCCAGCCCTAGTACATCTGAAGGTGGCCTAGCTACAGAAGTGATCAGCCGCTGAGACCCATGCTGTTGTTGCTCAGCTGACACCGCCACACTCTGCAGAGTGCCTGCACTGCTTGGGGTCGGACACTGCTCTGGAAGGAGTCCCGAGGTCTGTGATACGCATGTCTCAGGGCTTGACCCTCAGTCTCCCTAGCTGTAATTATTGACCATCTGTACTGTCTCTTATTACTCAGGGTACAGTCCTTGACAGAATTGACTATAATGTTGAACAGTCCTGTGTCAAGACCGAAGATGGCTTGAAACAGCTTCACAAGGTACCAATGTTCTCTGTGCTGGGTCTTTAGGAACTGTTATCAAATCTTGGGAATTCCTAGGAGGTTCTCTTCTGTCACACGTCCTCAACCCAAGACCCAAAGGGGTATAAATGGGAGCAGCTATGAGGCTTGCTATCATGCTGTAGTCTGGTTGTCAGACAGGCCTCACCGAGAGGTCAGCAAGGCTGGGATCCTTCTGTGGGCTGGGGTTTTCTTTCTGCTTTTTATCTGTCTGAGTTTTGTTAGAAGTCAGTTGATTGGCTTCTCTTGGTGTGGCCTGAGAGGCCATCTCTTGTTGCTGCTAACTTAGGGTGCTGGGGTTCACTTCTGATGACTTGCTGGTGGAGGACTGTCAACAAGGTAAAAATCGAATTATCCCTTCCTCTTTCACTCTCAAGAATTGTAGAAGTGAGGTGGGTTGTGCTCTTTCATGGGGTTTGCATGTTTGTTTAAATTTCTTTTTAAGAAGTCAATGGAAATCATTTTAGAAATCCTGTAATCAGTTATGAGAAATGGGCTCATGAACATGAGTGTCATGTGTGTGGTTGGACACATGCCTCCTGTGAAGGGAATGCAGCCGGCTCTGCTACCAGGTCAAATCAATCCTGTCTGCTTCCCTGTCATTGATACCAGTTGGTACCTCTGGCTGTGGGTTGAGCATTTTCCCAAGTGATGTTCTTCTTTTGAAAGCAGAAAGCCCCTCATCTATCTCTTCATGGTTCCAGGTTGCAGGGTCTAAGAACAGCGGCTTTGCTGTCCCTGTGCTGCACCTCACAGACTAGGGACAAGTCTTGCTTAGTAGGTATTTAGAGTAATGGAGGCGCCAGCCCGTGTCTCACAAGCTGAAGCTCCCTGAGCTTCCTGTTCTGTAGTGGGTTTGAGGTGCTATTGAATTGCCTATCAGTCCTAGAGTTTCCTAAGTCATACCTAGGAAACGTGGTTTGTGTTGTGATGCAGACACAGGGGGAGAGACATCTTCTCCATGGGAGGGACTGGGTCTGAGGCAAGCTTTTCTTTTGGTCTGATGTTATTGGAGAGTTTTCTCAGTATGTGGTCTGCATTGGCTCCTTGGTTCTTGGGGTTGCCTTGAAGAATGGGGCTGTCCTCAGCCCACACCATGGGGAGGCAGCTGGGACTTGGGAGCTGCTCCCATTGGCCAGCTCTCCGTGTGGTCTCCTGTCCTGTTTTTAGGTGAGGAGGGGCTTTTCTGGGTAGGTGGTGGGATGCTAAGCTCCCAGTCTCTTCCTGCTCGCTGTCCTTTGAGGGTCTGTGTCAGTCCCCAGCCATGGGAGGACGTCAGTGTTTCTGTACCACCACATATTGATGGGGAGCTGGCTCCCCAGTGCTTCTGTAGGAGAGGTGGGTACAGGTGGGCAGTGCTTCTGGGTGCTGCATGTAGGGGAGGTGTGCAGATGGGGCTTTGGGAACTCTTTTATGTGCCATCGGTCCTAGGGTAAGGGCAGGCTTGATCCTCAGGTGGCTCTTAAACCAACACAGATGGGCACATATGGCCATTTCTTCCTCAGACAATGAGGTATTCTGTTTCCAGGTTCAGAGGAAGTAGAGACAGGGCCTCTTGGGGCCACTGGTTCCATGCTGCACATTCTTCCTGGGTGCAGGGACATGGCTCAGGGTCTTGGTGGTTCACACTGAAGGAAGGTCTAACCATGAGGCCTGTCCTGTGCTGTGGATGTAAGCCCATCCTGCAGAAGCCAGGCTTGTGTGCTGTCTGTGGGGAAAATGACACCTTGCCTCCTCTTTTGTAGGCAGAGCAGTACCAAAAGAAGAACCGGAAGATGCTTGTGATCTTGATACTGGTTGTCATCATCGTAGTCCTCATTGTGGTCCTCATCGGCGTAAAGTCTCGTTAGTGGCGCCAAGTTCTTGAGTCTGCTACTGCATGGATTCCTTGGGTATGAGGGCTTCGCTGGCGCCACACTGCTGTACTGCCCACAGAGCGCAGCCCACTGGCCCAGCAACGGGCAGTGGGCCTTCCTGTGGGTGCCCCTCCTGTAGACTGGAATGCAGCAGGCTCAGCTGTGGGTTTCCATCTCTGTCCAGAGTTTAAGGACTGGGAGCTGTTGCTGAGGAGACTGGCCCTGTGACCAGCTGTCATGTAAACATGTTTTCTAGAAAGCAAGAGGAGAAAAGGTTTACAGGCATTGCCGAGCACCAGTACGATGTGTGTGAATGAAGGTTTACAGGCATTGCCGAGCACCAGTGTAATGTGCGTGTGCTCAGTTTTAGCACTCATGTCTGAGCAGCATGTTAATAAGTTTTAGGAATTTTTTTTTTAGCCATCTGGTTTTTAAGAAGTTTGGTACCAAAAATTTATGAGTAGAGGCAAAATGCCTCTTCATCTTCCCAGCTGAAAGCAGACCAAGAAGTCCTTCAAGAATTTGTAATCCGTCCCCATTAACTTAATTTAGCTTTTCCATCACTGTTAACGATCAGAGTAACAAAGTGTGAGAAATAAGAAACCATCATTGATGTTAATTAACACATTTAGACGGGCCAGTTAAACCAGCTTCATGCATTTAAATCAATTGTAAATAGTGTATTCCTCATTCAGAATTTTGCACTGTATTTTCTATTGTAAACCAAGAGCAGTTACTAAGCAAAACCTCCTGAATCAGAGAGTTGGTCATTTGAACCAACCTGACATTATAAGAAAGCTTGACAGTATCATGAACTAGATTGAGCCAGTGTGTCTCTAGTCATCCTTACTCAGTCCATTACTTACATTCTAGCTACGTAATGACCTGTCCAAACCTGACTCCATTTAATGAACTGTAAATTTACACAGAGGCCATTTTAAATGGGTCACCCCATTTAGGATTAGTGGATCTCAAATTATTAACCAAACATCACTCCATTTCAAAGTAAAATATTCTCCCCATGATTTGATTTATCGACTCTTCCATTGTCACTTAGCAATGCCCAGAAAGCAGGGATATTCCTGAGGACAGTGAGAGCCCTATGTGTATGCTTGCTGTGTGTGTGTGTGTGTGTGTGTGTGTGTGTGTGTGTGTGTGTGTAGATATGCATGCTCTGTGTATGCACATGTGCTATGTGTAGATACGTGTGCTCTGTGTGTGTATGAGTGCACATATCACATACATATCAGATTGCCAAAGTAAGGTTCTGTTTACTTACTTGTTAACTCTGGTGCTCGAGTGCTCTGCAGAGCTAGAGTGATGTGGACAGTGATGGAACTTTGAAGATGAGGGTGTGAGTGTCTCATTTGCTGTCTTCATTGACACTGCTGTCATTTTAGTAGTCTTTGTGTAATTTTTGATGGCTTTTTAAAATTGTCTCTGCCTCTCTTAAATGATTTAAGAGTGTGGCCTGTTAAGTGTGTCACAGTTCCATTATTTAAGAGTCTGGGACTGTTGAGTGTGTCACAGGTCCATTTGTATATATGCAAATGTATGTATGTATAGATATCACTGAAGGGGTGGCTCAAAACTCTAATTCATGCAGACCCACCATTAGCTCAGCCTCCCTGCCCAGGCTGTGGGATATTGGGGTCCAAAGGTTTACCAGATCCTTTGGTGACATTCGTAGGGAGCATTGGGGAGTCAGCACCTACCCCATCACTTCAGAATCGAGAGAAAGGGTCCCACAGGCCTCTTCTCCCGACTTCTGAGGTTTAGACAAGCTGCTTCTGGGTGGACTGGTCAAATTAGGAGGCCTGCTTCAAGCAATCTGTGGAGCATGCTGAGTCATTGTGAAAGCCTTGAAGAAAAGTGACCTTTTAAGAAAGGAGCACCATTTATTTCTATTTATTTCCCTCAATAGGGTTTTTTTTTTTTTTCCAGAGGGGAGGTAGTTTTTCCCCAACCCTTCTGGGTAACCTAACAGTTCTGGTTAGAAATTGTCCCAAGGACCTGTGGGAAGAGGGACTGTCCCCTTCTGTTTGAAGACAGTATGGTTCTGGTCTGGGCCCAGCCACCCTGATGGTCATCCTGAGGGGGCATGGACAGGCCTGACCTGTAGCTGGATCAGAGCCTTGTACACTAGCTCTTTGGGGACCCCACTGCTCTCTTGTGTTGAGCCTGGCCTGGGGGAAAGATTAGAAACCTGTGAGGACACAGAGAAGTTAGTGCCAGTGTCCTAGTAGGGACCTCAGGATAATTGGTTTTGGAAGAGGACTCTTCTATCTGCTGACAGCCACTGTCTGTGGGCTCCTTCTGCCCTTCAGTCTAGCCGCAGAGGTGACAATCACATCTCTCCCTGTGCCTGGGAAGCACCGTGGGGAAGAAGCCCAACCCCTGGACACCACCTTCCACTGTCCTGGGAGACTTCTGTAGAGTGGGGTGGAAGGAGAGAGAAGTGTTGGTCCTTTGGGGCCCCTGATCTTTCCTAAGACTAGCCGAAAACTGCTGTCCATCTGTCTGTCTGTTGCTGGGGGGAGGGGTGTTGGGGTGCTGGCTGGGCCACTGTGTGAAGCAGCGTGTGTCTAATTGAACGGATGTTCTGCGCTCTGCTAATTGAGAGAGCGTTATTTATTTGTTTTGACACAAGTGCTCGCAGTGTTTCAGCCCAGCTAATGGCTTCTTAAAGGTAATAAAACCCTCCAACCTAATTGGCCAGATAAGACTGTTTTCCTTGTGTGCTTAAATAAAGCAATTAGTGGAGCGCTTCTATCCAAAATGACTTTTTTCTGTCCTAACTAATTCACCGCTACTGGAAACTTTGTACAATAAAGCAGTCTCACAGACGAAGAGCATCCTGCATTCTTAGTGTTAATTTTAATGATGGGGGTCATATTTTGTTCAAATGTGTTGTGTTAGCAGAGGGTCTGGCCACGTCTGGGATCTTTGGGGCCATGGCTATTTATTTTGTGCCTGAGGCCTCTGCCTCAGTGTCTAAAAGTCGATTTGTCTATATAATGGAGGCCCGCAAAGGGACCAATCAATTTGCTATCCAATATACAAAAAGGGAAGCCACATAAAAGGCAGATAATTATTTTTCTTTATGAAAACACACTTTATGTGAGCATGTTTGGCATTCTTCAGATTGTGCCCAAAGTGGTTTGCATGTGCAAATGCCTTCCTCCAGTGTGGTATGACGGACATGAGGTACAATGTTTGCTAGGAATGTCCAGGTCTTCCTCCAAGGCCAGAACAGAATGCTGATGTTCATTTACATGCATATCTGGGAGAGACATGATGGAGGGCCAGAGTCGGGTTGCTATCACTGCCCGTGAGTCCTGGCAGACAGGTGGTCATGATTGTGAGTGCTTCCCCAGAAAGCTTGTTGAGTCACAGATAGCGTCCTGCACTCTGCTGTATGGTCCCTCTGTTCTCATCAACCATTACCTAGCCCTGTCTTCCATAAGGCTAGAGAATTGAGTCCAGGAGTGGTGCCGATCAAGCCCTCCCTCCTGACGTGGCTTGAGGTAGGAAGCCCTCCCTCCTGATGTGGGAAGGCCTGGAAATTTTTAGACTGATAGATGTAAGGGGAGAGTATGTTTTTTGAGACAGGGTCAAGGTAGCCCAGGTTACTCTTGAACTTGTGACTCTGTCTTTGCCTCTCAAGTGCTGGGATTACAGGCAGACAAGTGCTACCATGCAGGATTGTGGGTGGCTCTAGAATGAAAAACGTAGTCATCTTTGCAATGGAGTCTTTGGTGACCTGGGCTTCAAATGGTCGCACAAGAGTGTGTGCATACAATTGGACACTGCCATTAAGCAAACTGCCCTGAGACTTGGGCACCGGGTCAGGGTTGGTGGACAGTAGAGGTGTGTGATCCCTTTGAGTCTCGTCTTGACTGTCGGAGGACTAGCTGTGTATGAAGTCACTCCACTAATTGTGGTGAGCATCGTATGTGAAATAAGAGCAGCCTTCTTCATGTGCTTGCCATTGTGAAGTCAGAGCTAGCCTACCTATTGAACCAGAGGCATGTGAAAGCCATAACAGCTTGCCAGCTGTGAGCCTCCTTGCTCTGATGGTCAGAGTCCCTTGTATCTCAGCCATATGGAAATGTGGAGAAGCCTTTTCATGGTGGGCTGCTATTAAGTGGGTAAAGAGGGGACAACAGCATCTGTAGTTACACAATAGGATTTAATTTTTTCTAAGGAGGCAGCTCTGCTTCATCTGATGTGTATTTGGGAGCTTCGCTCTGCTCAGTGCATATAAGTGTGGGTCTCAGTTGTGTGTTTCTGTGTTTATTGGCCCTTTGAAACCTCTGGGTTTTCTCTGAATTCTCTTGACCACCCACACAGCACCTTTAACCTTGTATCTGATGTTTTTGTTTAGTTGTTTTGAAACTGAAGGAAAGCAGACCCTGCAAGCTGATGGGTGTCAGGACAAGCTAATGAGGGCACTGGTGGGCATGTAGACAGCTCGTGTAGAAGTGCTTCCTATTTGGGGCTTAGACTTAGATTGGGGGACGCCAGCTGTGTGCATCTAGTCCCTACCTCCAGACCCTCAGACAGGCTAAACCTGGCTGTGCTGGGTTTTCTTACCACATCAAGGACATTCCACAGAGCCAAATGGCAGAGACTCGTGCACAATTATCTGGCCAATTGGGGCAAAAGAAAATAATCATTTGTCCAATTGTGCAAATGAGCTCCCTGGACTGTCCTGAATACTGAGATAATTGTGTGGTCCTCCACTTTCATTCCATAATCTGGCAAAGATGGGCTATTTAAACAAGGCTCCATTTGAGAATGCACATTGAAATCAGGCTCCGTTAAAGCAGACCACTGGGTTTAGCATTTTCTGTTTGTCAACTATAATTCTATAATTGCTTTAAGCTAACCATCCAAATTCCACCATTAGTAATCACTGTTTCTCATTTACAGATGTGATAGAGGCCAAGGGCCCTGTTTGTATCATTTGGTCTCATTTTCCCAGGAAATGCTGAGGGAATCAAATGCTTGTTTTTTTAACTTAGTGTTCTGACCCAGGGCATCAGACCTCTGTTTCTATCCACTGTGGGGGACAAAGAACGCCCTCCCACACTGAGCCTTCCCCTTTTCCAGACAGGGAAACTGAAACCCATGCCCAGATGTGCCATGGTCACAAGGCCAGTGTAACTCAGAACTGGAATTGTCAGCTTCCTAATTTCTAGACCAGCACTCCTTTCTGCTTATTCCATTTTAATTGTTCATTTCTTTCCATAAAATTAAATGACCTTCTTCAAGAAAGATTTAATGGTCAAGATGTGATTTGGTAAAAAGCTTCCTCAAGGGTTTTTTTCTTATTACAAAGATGATGCCAGGCTGCAGCTAAGAGAGATTTGCAGACAGTGGTGAGCCATTATCCCCAGTTCAGCCTCTGTGTAATTGGTGCGAAGAGATTGCTGCCGATGAGCCAGCCTGCTGCCGAACAGAAGAGGAGTGATGGGCTGGTGACTCGCGTAGTGTGCGTACGTGTGAGCTTGAGCTTGCAGTTGTTTACAAAAGGTATATGTGTGCACAAAATGCTCACAGAGATGGAGGATGTCATTTTAAAGTTGTAAATAATAAAAAATTGTCTCGGGCAGACCTGATTTTACAATTGCCTGAGAATGTGGTACTTCATTTCAACACTATGTGATGGCTAGAAATTGATTTTTTTTTTAAATCCAATTAAGCCTCAAGGTTGGTTATCCATTTAAAAGGTCGGATGAGTTAAACAGTGACAGCGTCTTCGGTTCATGCTCATAATTAGATTTACACAGAACTCCAGCCCTCAAGTCTGCCTTATGGAGGCATATGTTTTCTGTTTGTACAACTGGGAGCTGCCCAAGCCCCCAGCCCATAGTGCAGACAGACCAGGAGAGCAGGGACCCAGACTTTCTGAGTCCCCAGCTGGCTACTGACTGCATCATGCCTTCCCCTCAAATCTCCAGAATCTTCCCTAAGGAGTGTGGGTCACAGCACCAGGCTACCTCCTGGTTTGTAGCCCTGAGCGTCCTGGGAAATGGAAAGTAGCCTCTCATTTGAAGATTTGGTGTCATCTAGTTTCATGTGCTACTGAGTTTAATGCAACAAATAAATCCTGGTTTAAAAACGGCACCTTATAGCACATATTTGCTGAGTGTACCTGGCATGGGGAGAAACAGGCTTCAAAATGCCCTTTTAAGGTTCTCATGGGTAATGTTTTAAGTGTTACTATGTTATGAAGATGTTGGAAAATCCATGAGTCTGAGTAGAATGCTTTTTTCTGTGCTTGAGCTAGAATGCCAGTCAAGTTTTATAAATGGCTGAGACCTAACATTTCAGCCTGCACTGTAATGTAAGGCATTTCAGTAAGCTCCATTCATAACCAGACCAGCCTGAAATAAGAGACCTTCTAGAACTTTCCATCCATAACTATGAATCAGCCTGAAATAAGGGACCTTCCAAAACTTTCCATTTATAACTATGAACCATTCTGAAATGAGGGCCCTTCCAGAATGTTGCATCCATAACTATAAACAAACCTTATATAAAGGCCCTTCCAGAATGTTCATTCCATAACTATGAACCAGCCTTAAAGACCCAGAATTTTCCATCCATAACTTTGAACCAGCCTGAAATAAGGGACCTTCCAGATTCAGTGAGAAGAAAATATTGACTTTGCTTCTCATTACTCACTGTTCCAGACAACAAAGAATTTCAGGTTAGCTCTTTGCCTCCCCCACCCTTTCCTCACACCACTCAATTGCCTAAATCCTCAGCAACAGATTTATGATTCTTTTTGAAAGGTCTGCGTCGGATAGCACAGATAGATGTGTAATAAACACAAGGGTGTTTGGGAAGTAAATGTGACGCAGGTTGCAGTGAGTCATTTCAATACACTGGAGAAATCCGCCTTCTAACAGGATCCTGCCGGGGAAGGTTTTTCCTCAGGAAAAGATTTGATCAGAATAAACATTTACCCCCATTTTGCTTTTCTGTAAGTCTTCGTGTTCACAGGTTGAGTTTGCTTAAGGGAATGTGGGACTGTAGTTGCTGTTAATCATTTCCCTCTTCCTTCCTGCAACCTCCCAGTCCCAAGGCTCTAGGTCTTCAATATGCCCTCGAAAACTTTTGCAACTACAAAAATAATTGTGCTGGTGTTCGAGGTAAATAGGAATTTAGTTCCTGAGACATGAGGGTTATTGCTGCCTTGAGCTTGGAGGCTAATTCAGGGACTAGCTCAGCCTCTCATCTTCTCTGGAAGTCCCAAGACCTAGTATCCAAAGGACCAGGTTCAACTTGTTAATAAATGGTTCTGCTAGTACACTGTTCTTAGCACGCTCTCTCTTGTCCTTCTGATGGCAGAGAGTGGAGACCGTTGAAGAGATGCGATTGCACGACGTGCGCTTTTCAAGCCCAGTGCAAAAGATCATGTGGCACCTTTTGTGTAAGATGCATGGTGGTAGGAGCTATATTTTTCTCAAAGAAGAGGCAGGCAAGATAAACCAGAAACTAATAGAAATGGCTACCTGTGGGGGAAAAGGGATGAATAGAAGCCGGGACAGGAACGACCCCTTTTGGAGCATTCCTTTTTACGGCTAGGATTTCTGAGCTGTATAAATGTTTCATGTATTCAGAAAAGAAAATAGAACAAGAAGCAAGAAGAGCAAGCCTCCACCTGAACAAAAACATGAACCTAAGTGCCTATCACAGATAAACCACACAGAAATGAATTCCTGACATGTTGGTGGGCATACTGCAAGCATAAAAAGAATAAAGAAATGGCAAGTGTGTGGTCAGGAATAGAGCTGGTGCTGTTTATGGTTGTTGAAAAGCAAATGATCATCCATGGGAGGGT